GAACAAATTTTCGCCATACATCAAATCATATGTTCTCTACCAGAAACTCAACCAGACTGTGGCTGCCATGAGCGCTCGTAAAATGCTGGATATAAAAGGATAAGCAAATAAGGTAGTGGAATTAAATGGAAATTACTTATCCTTCTCTCTTTATTAAATATTATTCAAACAGTCAGCATCAACAAAATTTGTTCAAGTCCATGAGCCACAAGAACAAACCATTTTGTCAAGTTTCTGCATTCATTTTCGATCGGAGTCACTGCTGTTGTTTGTGGTGACATCTATAGAAAATTACGCATAATCTGTTTTTCGTAAGATGTTCACCAGGAAAAAAAATACTTCACGACGAATGAGAACGACTCAAATTTGAGTTTAGTTCACTCATAATCGCCAAAAGTGCAGGAACTCAGCGATGAGTAAAATTTGTCTCATGGTTTCCTGTGGAAAACCTAAAAAATCTGCCGGAAAATGAGGAAATTGACGAAAATTTTATTCAGTCTCGGAGTAGTACCAATATTTAGACTGAGTGAATCCACTCTTTATTTTTCTCAAATTCGGGAATTTTTCCCTGGAAAATCCTGGAAAAACCTGGGAAAACATGAGGCAAATTTACTCATCGCTGAGTTCCTGCACTTTCTGCGATTATGAGTGAACTAAACTCAAATTTGGGTCGTTCTCATTCGCCATGTAGAGATCCCTTTCACAGGCTAAAAAATAGAGTATCTGAAACGGCAATCGAAAGAACATATTTCAAATTGAAGTTTCCTTCATCGATTATTTACGTCATGTCCTTCATAAAAAGTTTCGTTAAGGCACATACATGATCTTACTCTTAGATTTTGTTCTTTTTATAAATTCTGCATACTTCTGTAAAGAAAAACTTTTTGTACTCATCGTACATTATTTTTGACGTAGGACCACATCTTTGTGGATTACATCGGGGTGCAAATAAAAAAAAAGTGTTACGAAATGGTGTTAGGTTTTGAACACTTAAAACACGGTCATTTACGAATGAATTTCAATTTTTATCATACCATTTGATTCAGATTTGATGTAAGATTTGTTTAGTATGATGATAATAGTTGTCTAGCAATGGTTAACAATTGAAAATTGATCAAACTTATTGGCCGTAATCAAACAATTACGTGCTCGCTATGACTCGCTATGACTATCGAGAGATGAGCCGATTGCGCGAGGTTATAAAAGAACGTACCAGAATGTTTTGTATCAATCCGTCTGCCGATGTGATGAAGGAAGCTCGACAAACTGTTAGACGCTATTGAAGTCGACTTGAATGACTCGTTCCAATATCTAAATTCCCACCCAAGGCCTATTAAATGGAAGACAGGTCAGTTGAGCGGCACTATTTGGCTACGCATTGTTTGCTTTAAATTAACATCGTGTTGGAACAATTGAAAGTGCCCAAAGAACACAAAGTTGTAGACTGGCGTAAAGTCCCAGAGGGAACGTAACACAACCAAAAACAAGTGTTGATAAATATTTCGTCGAGTAGATATGATTTGATGATGCATCGTATGATATGATAATGATTACTCTTGAATTTGCAGAATGTAAACCCATTACCTGGACCATCAGAAACCTAAGGTGTACGGTGGCAGTTAGCTCTATTCATGTTTTCACTACCACCGTAAACAAAAATATCCGAACTAGTTTTACGATGGCCATATGGGGTGTCACTGGTCATATTTCATGAAGATGTGATTTGCCATAACCATGAGAGACAATCATTTTGACCATGTGGAACAACAATCCGAGAGAAATATAAGAAATATCATAGTGACCATACGGTATCATAATCCGGAATTTCCAGAACGGGTTCTACGGTCGTCATATGGGTCTATAATTGACGTTTTGAGAGCCATTGGTAATGTTTCGTCGAGTAGTAGGTTACTTTTTAAATTCCAGATTTTTTCCCCGATTTTCATGTTTTCTCGGTTCACTGGCCACCCTGTTAACAACTTTGAGAGTTTTCGGGAAATCCGTGGTACTGGTAAACTTTAAAAACTGACCGTGATTAGATCTTCCCTTCACTTATAGAAAACTCTGGAACTGAATCATTATTATTATTTAACTTTATTAAAGAGGCTTTCAGCCTTGGGCTGGTTCGCCTCCATGACCAACTGAATCATGTCTATTGCCATTTTGAGGGTGCTTTGCAATCCTACGGAATTATTCTGGTGAGTTCGAGTTCAATTTTCCCAGAATTCTTGACATTGGTGACCTGTCACTGAGTTGCGAGGACACCTGGCTTCTCCTTCATTCGACTTTTTTTTTTCATGGTGAAAAAAGTTCATTGGAGTGAAGCTCCTTTCAAGCCTCTTCTCCGATAGGCATAGAACATTCAATCTTTTCTAACGAAGTTTGCAATAGATGCACTTTCCAGTGAGCTGAAATGCTATAAATATGGAGGAAGTGCAATGGTAGCTTGTAATCTAATTCAATACTTATAATCTATATCAATGCACACATAGAGGAACTTACTATTTAATAATTGACCGAGTTGCTAGTTGGAGAACACGAGAGCATGGAATTCAGAAGCATATTATATTATTGAAGTGGTGCCTGCATTGAAATATAGATGAAACAAGCGATGTCCAATGCTGGTGATGACGATGAAGACGTAGGTGGTGCATGCTCTGAAACAATTGATTAAATTTATTAGGGGCGCAGTATCTCTGGCTTCGGCTAGACATATACCAAAACTCGTAACCTGATATAGAACTAGCGTTTTTACCAGACCATGCACACTAGTAAAAAGGCTTATACATTTAGGTTAGCTGAGAGTGATACATGTAAACAGCTCTTTTGACGTAAGAATCAGTTGAAAAAAAAAAAACAATTCAACAGTGAGCATGCATAAGGGCGTCAACGCGATGATCGATTCTCTTCGTCGATTTTCCCTTTTGTTAATAATTCGTGCGTTTGCTGTTGCTTTTGACAGCCAGTACAACCTGTTACAACTCTGCATTGAAAAAAATTCTAGAAAATTGTTTCGCTTAGCTGTAGCAATGTAAAGAGAGAATCGATGAAGAGATTCGATCATTGCGTATACGCCCTTATGCATGCACACTGTCGAATTCAAACAAACGTTCTCTTCGTCGACTTGCTTATGTTTCGGTTTGAGAACACTTCAAGCTGAACATTGCATTAGTAACATTGACCGATTCTCTTCGTCGACTTTCTCTATGCATCCCCACGGTCCTGTAAAGACATTCCCATGTTTTTTCAGCACATAGATCGATAAAAGAAGCTTTCATCTAGCATCTAATATGACAAACACATCAAGAAACGGTTCTGTGATCAAGTTATTAACGAAAGAGAAAGTCGACGAAGAGAATCGATCAATGTTACTTAGGACCTATTGCATTAGGTTCAGCTTGACTTAAATGTTCATGAATTCGTGCAACACGAGAACAGGGCCTTTCATTGTTGATCGATTCTCTTTCATCGATTTTCTCTTTCGCAAATAGCCCGACTGCAAATGAATTTTCCATTCAGTGTGTTGTTTCAGGCGCAAGCTAACATCATCTTCTGTCGAACTGGCTGAAAGCTTAGCGAGAAATTCGTTTATGTTGCCGTAGTAAACCAAAGAGAAAGTCGATGAAGAGAATTGGCCCTTTGTACCAGACCTTGTATAAATGACATTGAATGTGGATTACGTCTCGTATATAAGTAGTTATTTCTAAGTGTGTGTGTAGCTAGATTAGAAACTGGAGAGTATGCACCCAGAACCATGTGGAGCTTTTGAATGCTGAAGACTGAAGCTGGACAAGCTGTTCAATGATGATGACTGCGATGAGATCATATATAGTGCGAATTATTGCAGCTAGTTTTGGAACTGGATGGCATGGATCCAGAAACCATATGAAGCGGTTGGAATGATGAACAGTGCGATCAGGACTCGAAGAAAGTAGATGTTCATTAGGGACGCAGTATCTCTGGCTTCGGTCAGACATATACTGGTATTCGTTACCTGATACAATAACTGGCATTTCTACCAGACCTTGTAGCTATGGGCCCAGAACCATGTAGAGCTGCAGAGCTCTAGGCGCAATCCCAACAAAACTTAAACAGCCAGGTTCGGGTCGGGTACGGGTACTCCTTGCAAGAAAGTCCTACTTCTGAACGTCAAAACATAGTTTTTAGCAAATTTCTGTTACTAACCATATTTATCAATTTTATATAGATGAACGCGACACTGGGACGGTACTTATTTATATTTTTAGTCGCTATTGAAAATTTATTCGATTGCTGAATTTATGAATGGGCCAACTTAGGTAAATGACCCGACATTACATCCATTTCCCCTAATATTCGTGAGCCAACTAATAAATTCAAACAATGCAAAACAACTTGTATGTTCTATGAATTGGAGATGGTCTGGTAAGGGTATGATTACTTGAAACCCGACCCGTACCTGTACCCGATGGGTTCAGGTCAGGTACGGCTTGGGAACAATGTAGAAATCGGGTGCGGGTCGGCTCCGGTATTCAAATTTGCATACCCTTTCATCTCTAGTGTGCGTTATGCAGACAGGTTCCCATAGAAGTGGTCACTTCTAAGATGAATAAGAAAACGGAAAATAGCGGCGCCGGTGGTGTAGTGGTAAGCGTGATTGCCTTTCACCCCAAAAGGCCTCGGTTCAATCCCAGTCGGCGCCGCCGGGATTTTCTGAGGCATAAAATCTCTGATCACGCCTTCCTTCGGAAGGGAAGTAAAGCCGTTGGTCCCCGGTTCATGAGTTGGTGGGTCAATATGTAGGGTCCAGGTGTAGGAGCTGCCTCCCTGGCGTCGGTAGCATTGGTACTCAGTACGGAAAACAAGATCGACGAAAAGAAAAGAAAACGCTAAATCTCCTCTATCACATACGACTTAATAATTTATTGAAAATCTATGAATCTTTGGTCACCTAACGAATTTCGGAAAAGCTCAATAGATACTTACTTAGAACCCTCCAACCCATTTGTTTCTAACTCCAGGTGATACCCACGGTGGTTTATCTGATGTCCCGCATCGCTGTACATATGGAAATCGAGGGTACCGCACAATGCCCGGCCCAGGTGATGCTGGCCGCGGCACTCGGCTGTGAAGAGTTAGGAATTACCAATAAGTTGCTGGCGCAGAGCGTGTTCGGCCTCTGGATGACCAGCCCGCTGCTGGAGGTGCAGCTGAAGCCACACCACCGGCCGTACGCGGTACGGGTGGCGTGGTCCAAACTACTCGACAAGCACAGCCACGGGAACGAGCTGGAGAAGCTGTCGAACGAACCGATGACCATGCTGCGGCGAAATGTGTTCTTCTCGAAGAAGGACGAGGAGAAAATCAAGTAAGATCTCTGTGTTCGTGGGCTGTTGGCTTGAATGAATCTAAACTGTTCTTTTTTGCATTAACAGGGACCCCCGGATATTGGAGCTGCTGTACGAAGAAGCACGGCACAATGTTCTGCTGGGACGGTACGTGATGGAGTCTTCACATTCGATCATGCTGGGTGGCATCCAGGCTAGGATAGAACTGGGACCGTACAATTCGCACACGCACTCGATTAGTTACTTTAGGTGAGTGGCAAAGTGCGATTATTCCTGTCACAAAATTCTCAACATTCACGCTTTTTCGACAGAGAAAACCAATTCCGCTTCCTGCCGGCGCACGTGGCCAAGAGCTCCAGCTGGTCGTGGCTTCCAATCAGCCGGCGGTCGTCGGCCGAGGTAAGACTGCTAGAACAATTCAAACGGGTACCGACGACGGCCACGACCAAGAAGCTCATGCGAAAATATTTGGAATTTTGCTGGGCACTGCCATTCTATGGGTAGGATTATTTTATAATTAAAGATTTTTCTGGACTGAGCAAATCCCCGTAATACTTTCAGGGCCACCTACTTCCACGGTCAAGTGGAGCAACCGGTGAGAGGATTGACGAGCTTGATGCAACAGAAGGACCTTCCTGTACTGATAGCAGTAAACGAACGAGGCGTCTTCGTGATAGACCAAATCGAATGCGTAAGAGGCTACCTTTTTCTTGAATTGACCATCACTGCTCAATTTTTTTGGTTTTACATTTTAGACCCTACTGCTGGGGCTCAAGTACGAAGAACTGTCCTGGGACTACGCGAAACCGAGCAACGTGAACGATCCGGAGTGCATGCCTTGCATATTTCTGCAGTTTGCCGCTGTGGAGAACGGAATCGCCGCAACCAAACTTATGCAAATCTTCACCCGCCAAGCTGCCATGATAGACGCCTTAATAACCCACTTCACCGATCAGGCCAAGCGGCGGAAAGAGAGCGGCGAGGGTGAGGTCCCCGCCGGGGAGAATCCGTACGAAGGTTAGTTGTTGACAGTGGGCAGGGGTGGATTGCAGTTGGCGATTCTCAATTCAGGATCAGTTGTCAAACTCTCTCTTGATCCGTTCCAAGCAATAGGTAATAGACGCTATCAATTTAAGCGAGAATAAGAATCACGAACGGACAGCGTAACGTGAAACGTGACTGTTATTTGCTGCTATTTTCCAGATATTCATATTTAACTGTGCTTCTCTGAAGTCATCAGAGCTTCTTAAAGTTCCCACAATGTTCATGAAGTAAATACAGATTTGAATTGTTTCAAACAACCCGGATACTCGCATAACATTCCTAAACATATTTAGACTTTCATGAATTTCTCTGGACTCAGAAGATTAAATATTTTTTTCTGGAATTCTTGGAAGCTCCTTATGTTTAAACAATTTTTCAGGATTTCTCAAAACTTATTTAAAATGTATGTAATTTCCCAGAAGCTAATGGAACTGTCCTAAGATTCGCTGATCTTCCCTGGAGCTCGGAATTTCCTTTAATTCCTTAAATTCTTCTGAAGCTCTTAGTACAATAGAACATATCCTAATAGAACTTATCTTAAGAATCCGTAAGCTTCAGTGATAACCCTTTAATAGAACAATCCTAAGAATCCGTAAGCTTCAGTGATAACCTCTGAACAGGTGAAGCTTTCCAACATTTCATGAAGTTTTCTAGACTACTTGAAAATTTGAGAGCATCTAAAAGTTTCCTGATATTTTCCGGAAATTAATGTGATTTCAATCATCTTTCCTGGAGCTCCCTACCTTTAGAAACTACTCTCAAGCTTACGCAACATCTTTTAAAATGTTCCGCATTTTCCTTAGTAGTTTCGAGAAATTCTGGATTTTTTTTTAAACTTTAGGAGCTTCCAAGAATTCCAGAAAAATTGTTTAATCTTCTGTGAAGTCCAGAGAAATTCAATTGAGCAATTAAATTTCTCTGAACTTCCCAGAAGGTTAAAAATGTTTCTGGAATTCTTGGAAACTCATAAAGTTTAAACAATTTTCCAGAATTTCTGAAAACTTCTTTAAAATGTATGTAACTTCCCAGAAGCTAATGGAACTGCCCTAAGATTCTCTGATCTTCCCTTAAGCTCGGAATTTCCCTATCATTATTGAAATTCTTCTGAAGCTCTTAGTACTGCCTGGAGATTAAAAGAACAGTCTTAAAAATCCGTAAGCTTCAGTGATAACCTCTGAACAGGTGAAGCTTTCCAACATTTCATGAAGTTTTCTGAACTACTTGAAAATTTGGGAGCATCTCAAAGTTTCCTGATATTTTCCGAAAATTAATGTGATTTCAATCATCTTTCCTGGAATTCCCTAACTCTAGAAACTACCCGGAAGCTTACGCAACATCTTTTAAAATGTTCCGCATTTTCCTGATGTTAAGTGACGAGCTTGAGCTTGGTATTCGTAGAAGTAATATAAGGACATATTTAATATACATACATTTTAAAGAAGTTTCGAGAAATTCTGGAAATTTTTTTAAACTTTAAGAGCTTCCACGAATTCCAGAAAAAATGTTTAATCTTCTGAGAAGTCCAGAGAAATTCAATTGAACAATTGAATTTCTCTGGACTTCTCAGAAGGTTAAAAAATGTTTCTGGAATTCTTGGAAGCTCCTAAAGTTTAAAGAATTTTCCAGAATTTCTGGAAACTTGCTTAAAATATATGTAACTTCCCAAAAGCTCATGGAATTGCCCTAAGATTCTCTGATCTTCCCTGAAGATCGGAATTTCCCTATAATTCTCTTAGTACTGCCTTGAACTTAATAGAACAGTCCTAAGAATCCGTAAGCTTCAGTGATAATCTTTGAACAGGTGAAGTTTTTCAATATTTTATGAAGTTTTCTGGACTGCTTGAAAATTTGGAAGCATCTCAAAATTTCCCGATATTTTCCTGAAATTAATGTGTTTCCGCATTTTCCTGATGTTCAGTGCTGTAATCGTAGAATTTAAGCTTGGTAGTCGTAGAAATAATATAAGGTCACCCCAATTGAACAAATTAAGAAATTTTGGATTACGATAAAAGCTAGATCTCGACTACCCGCAACTACACAACTGCTGATGTTCATGAAACTTTCTTGAAGTTCTCGAAGTTTCTCTACAACATTCTGAACTACTTTTACGTTCCTGAAGTTCTCTGGACTGCTGTGAAGATTTTCTGAAAATTAATAACTTCACTGTAGTTCTTTGAGCTTTCCTAAAATTTACAGAGCTTATTTAAGGCTGCGTTAAATTTCTTAAAATTAAAGCCACATAAGTATATGAACTTCTCAGATGTTAAATAAAGTTTTCAAATTTTCCTGAAATACATTTAGTTCTAATTCTTTATCATCTTAGCACGTCCCCAAAAGTGTAGACGGAATTTCCCTATAATTCTTGAAATTCATCTGTAGCTCTTAGTACTGCCCTGAACTGAATAGAACAGTCCCAAGGGTCCGTAAGTTTCAGTGATAACCTCTGAACAGGTGAAGCTTTCCAACATTTCATGAAGTTTTCTGGGCTACTTGAAAATTTGGTAGCATCTAAAAATTTCTCGGTATTTTCCTGAAATTAATGTGATTGCAATCATCTTTCCTGAAGTTCCCTAACTGCTCTGAAGCTTACGCAACATCTTTTAAAATGTTCCCGCATTTTCCTGATGTTCAGTGCTGTAATCGTAAAATTTGAGCTTGGTAGTCGTAGAAGTAATATAAGGACGCCCCAATTGAACATGAAATTTTGGATTCCGATAAAAAGCTCGACCTCGACTACCCGCAACTACACAACTGCTGATGTTCATGAAACTTTCTTGAAGTGCTCGGAATTTCTCTACAACATTCTGAACTACTTTTACGTTCCTGAAGTTCTCTTGGCTCCTGTAAAGATTTTCTGAAAATTATTAACTTCACTTGAGTTTTTTGAACTTCTATAAAATTTACAGAACTTATTTAAGATTGCGTTAAATTTCTTAAAACTAAAGCGTCATAATTATATTAATTTCTTAGATTTTAAATAAAGCTCTCAAATTTCCCTAAAATTCATGGAACTGCTCATAAATTATCGGCTCTAATTCTTCATCATTTTAGTACGTCCCCAAAAGTGTAGACTTTTCATTTATGAAGAGCTTTTTGAGTGAGTTGATATATTTCCATTTAATTCCGTTATAATTGCTTATCTTTTGACAGATACGCGTATTCCGTCTACTACTTGCAGACGTCATCAGTGCCATGTACTCAGTGATAAAGTACATTCCGTTAAGAGGTTCCACAAAATTCAAAGATTTCCATTGATGTTTTACGTGTTTTCTTGATGTTATTCGCAATGCCCGAAAGATCTCTGAACTTCTTTGAAGTTCTCTAGACTTCCCAGAAATGATCAAGTATTTTTTAAAAGTACCCGCTGTTCTTCTGAAGTTAATGTCATTAAATTCTTAGATCTTCCTCGAAGTTTCCTTAATATTGCGGATTTTTTTTAAATTTCGTACGGTACTTCCCCGAAGTTCTCTGAATTTTCTCATGATCATTATTCTGATGTTCATATAAGTTATAATTTATCATATTCACATGATCCCGCAATGTGCCCGAAGTTTACGGAACATTCTTGAAATTCTCAGCATATTCCATACTTCCTCGAAACTCCTTGAAACTTTCTGCAATTTTCCAGAAGATCATGGGACTGCTCTAAGTTCCCTGATCATCCTCGAAGTACTCGGAACTTTTCTGAATATAATGAAGCTACTTAAAAATCTATGATCTCCTTCGAAATTCTCTTTACTTTCTGTCGGAAATTTCAGAATTTCTTAAAAACTCTTGCACTTTTCTTGAAATTGACGGAACTGTCTCTAATGTTATACGATCTTCGCTGAAGTTCCCGGTTTTTTTTTTAAGTTTCCTAATCTGCCATTTAAAACACGGAACTTCCCTTAAAATGTTCTCACATTTTTCTTATGTTCATGTAAGTTCACTAACGTTTCCTAAAATTTCATGAACCTCTCGGAACTTTGCTGAAATTTTCCTTATAAGTTCCAACAATTTCCATTAAATCCATGCCTCTCCTTTCTGGCAATTACAAGCCGGAGAGTGGAAGGTCCTTGAGTTTTAGACCAAGACAGTCGAGACTGACTTGTCGAAACGTGCCGATCGTGAGGATATTCGTGGAACAAATAAAAAAGGTCCTGAACGGAACAGAAGAAGGTCGTTAACTGCACTTTGAGGCACTTTGTTCGGTTCACTACAGTATTGACTGCACTCACGTCTTGTACGCACGAACGCCGGTATACTTCTGGGCAATGGTTGACCATTAGACTGATGCAAAATTTGACTTTTTCGCTCCACAGTGCTTAAATGGTTTCAAATCGGGTCGTGATTAGCCTCCAAAAGTTAAAACTCATTTGGTTAGAAACAGACTTCGCACAAACCATTTGAAGTTTTCATTTAAATTGCTATGGGAAATCTCAACTTTTTGTTCATTGCTTTCTAGTCTTTTTCCATACTGAGCTGCGAAACAGCTCGATAGCTATTCTTATAGCAACTACAACTTTGCTCAAGACCGTTTCTATGTAAAACGAGACAGGAAATAGTTATTAATTATTTAAGAGATTGGTAAACTTATGACATGATCAAGCAGCTGCTCTGTAGGCAACACTGTATTTTGCAGTGTGACATAGTAGCCATAATTTTTGTGTCCTATTCAACGCCCCAGAAACACCAATGTTGCATGCTGAGCAGTTGATTGAGCATGATCGTAAGACATCAGTGCATTGAACCATTAATAACTTTCGATCCTTGCATTTAATCAAAAAGTGGTCTTTGGCAAAGTTGTAGCTGGGAAAATTTCCTTCTTCTTCTTTTTCTTCTTCTTCTTCTTCTTCGCATTTCAAGCTTATTGCATATCGCATATTAGCTTATTGCGTGCTCTCAACTTTGTGTTCTAGGTCCACTTCCACAGTTATTAATTGAGAGCTTTTGATGCCTGTACCATTTTTGCATTGATATAATTGTGTGACAAG